TCTCACCCCTGCAGGCACCTCGTGGGGGCCTCATCCCTGCAGCCACCGTGTGAGGGTCTCACCCCTGCAGGCACCTCGTGGGGGCCTCATCCCTGCAGCCACCATGTGTGGGGGTCTCACCCTTGCAGGCACCTAGTGGGGTCTCACCCCTGCAGCCACCATTTGTGGGGGTCTCACCCCTGCAGGCACCTCGTGGGGGCCTCACCCCTGCAGGCAGATACTTGGGTCCGCGGCACGCTCACCTCCCGCAGGTGTACAGGTCACAGCAGTAGCATGTGTTGCTCCTCACCTTCAGCTGGCACTTGCCATTCAGGGAGTGACAGGTGACCTGGGGCAGAGAGGCCTTGTCAGGTCACACCCTGGTGCCCACCACCTCATCCACCCCACCAAGAGCACGGCTGCCCTTGGGAGCTGGGAGTGGCCACTCGGGCCCGGCCAAGCAGCTGCCCCCCCTGACGTTCCCCTGACTGTCAGGACTTAGGGGCCAGGACCCTTCCTGCAGGAGGACTCGGGTGCGGGCTGGTCCCAGAGGCTGGATAAACGGGGCTCAGAGGAGAGGTCTTGCTTCTCCATGATCCCAGGAGCAGAGGGAAACATCAGGGTGACTGGGAGGAAAGACAGAGCCAGGAAGCCCTCGGGTGGGGTGCACAGAAGCCTGAGAGCCCGGAGCATGGTAGAACAGGTCCCGTCCCAGGGCACCCTCCTTCCAGGCTCGGGTGCTGGCAGCCTCAGAAGAGACACCTGCCACCTCCTGTGGCAACCGTGAAAGCCCTGGCCACAGGACTGCCCCCCCACCCCATCCTCTACACACACACGCGCGCGCACACACACACACACACACACACACACACACACACACACACACGATGCTCCCAGCGGTTGCTGGAGAATCCCAGGTAAGCCCTCAGGTGCTGGCCACCGAGAGGGCCTCCAGCTCCTCCTCCTCCTCCTCTGACACCCATGCTCAGGAGGAGAGGCCACATTTAGTTAAAGCCGGAAATCCACACAGGGTGAGCATGAGACACACAGACAGCACTGTCACAGAGCTTCGCCCTCGGAGGTCTGGTGAAGGCAGCAGCTGCCCGCGGGTCATTACTCCTCAAATCTCACTCACCTGCAAGGAGAAACAAGGTCACACCACACCTATCGGTGGCTCAGGGAAATCCAGAAGTTTCTCAGATACTGTAAATGTATTATCCTTGCTTCTTATTGCAATAATTATGTTAGAAAAAAGTGCTAATTGGGAGAGCCACACAGAACTGGACACATGAACTCCGAGACTCTTGTGATTTAAAGAAGCAAGTCCAGAGCTGTGACCGAGAGTGAAACACAGCACATCAAAGTGTCAAGGCCCCAAAACATACGGAGCCATCAATGGCTCACCAGACACGGGGACATGCAGGAGCTATTACACCATGCCGAGGCGCAGGGAAAACCACAGGGGGTCGGTGGGGTTAGCTGAGCAAAACCCACGTGAACCTCAGTGCTCCTGCTCACCTCTGTCTGGTAGATGTCGTACAAGTACCCCACCCCACTGGAGTAAAACTGGCATCTTCCTGTGGTGAGAGGCCTTGGTTCCTAGAGAAACAGATGAACACAGACGAAATGAAAAGGTTCTCTCCAGGCGGGAGAGTCCAGAGGCAGTTTCAGGCCCGTGGGTCTCAGGATCAGGGCCTCCAGGAGCAAGGCCACCACGGACTCCAGCCTCCCAGACAGCACACAAGACAGGAGACCACGCTCCCTGCAGAGCAGCTGGGCTGCTGCATCCAGGAGACCAGGCAGCAGAAAGCCCCACGGCAGGGTACTCAGGCCATGCAGGCTGGGCCGAGACGGGGAGACAGGTGTTTGGCCTTTTGAGGAGCATCCCTACCACCCCACATCACAAGTGTTGGGCTCCTGCATCTTGTCCTAAAAGAAAACATTGTTTCTTCTACTAGGAAGGCAGCAAGAAGGATTTCAGACTAATAAACGCACCCATCCAACCGTCCACCCAAACATTCCTCCGTCCAATCAATCATCTATGCATCCACCCATTCTGCCTTCCATCTTCCACATCTATCTATTCATTCATCCATCATGTATCCATCGTCCATCCTTCCATCCATCCACATCCATCCATCATCCATTTGTCATCCGTCCTCCTACCCATCCATCCATCATTCGTCCATCCATCATCTACCCGTCTATCCATGCATCCATCCGCATCTATCCATCATCTATCTGTCATCCGTCCTCCTATCCATCCATCCATCATCCATGCTTCCAATCATCCATATCCACCTGTTGTTCATTCTTCCATCCATCCACCTATCAACGATCTTTCATTACCCATCCTTCTATCTATCCACCCATCATCCATCTTTCCATCCATCCACATCCATCCATCCATCCTTCCATTTATCCACATCCATACATCCACCCATTCTTCTGTCATCCATCCTTCTACCCATCCACCCATCATCCATCCATTATTCATTCTTCTATCCTTCCATTCTTCTACATCCATCCATCCATCCATCCTTCTATCCATCATCCATCCACACAGGGCAAGCACTAGTCACCCAGACAACGCCGTCACAGACCTATGCCCTTATCACAGAACTGCACCCATATTCACCCATCCATCTTCCCTCCATCCTTCATCCATCCACTATCCATTCTTCTATCCATCCATGCATCATCCATCCATCATCCACCCTTCTTTCCATCTATCCATCCACATCTACCCATCCATCCATCATCCATAATCCATCCTTCTATCCATCCACATCCACCCATCCATATTCTATCCATCCTTCTATCCATCCATCTATCTGTCATCCATCCATCCATCACCCATCCATCCAACCATTCAGCCATATGCCCATTTATGGCCCTATCCAACTATCAACCCATCCAGCCATCTGCAATGTTCATGGAGCAGACACAGTGTAAAGGGGGATAATGAGACACAGTGCTTGTCCTTAAAGGATTTATAGACTAGTGAGGAAGACAGACCCATAAACTGACCGTTGCAAAGTGCTGATAATTGTTACGGTAGAGGACAGCAGGAAGCACCAAAACTATAAAATGCCACAAAAGAGCATCACCTGTACATAAGCCAGGGTCTCATTGCCCATGTTTAGTTTTATTACTGTATGAGCGTATTTCTCAAAGCGCTCCTAGTTTTGATCCAAGAAAAGTATTAGAGACTACTAGTAACACTGCAACAAATGAGAAGAAGAGTCACTCATCCGTCCTTCGGGCCCCACTTATGAAGTACTATTGTGGCCGGGCGCATTCAGGTGACTCAGCAGTGGAGGATGCAGACCCAAGTCTCTGTCTCTGGGTGTTTATCTTCCCCTGGGGGGATGGACACAAGGCCACAGGTAACGAGTGGCCCACGGAGCAGAGGCTCCTTCCTGGAGGAAGGGCAGTGCACCCCAACCGCACGGGGCAGAGGCTCCTTCCTGGAAGGAGGGCAGTGCACCCCAACCCCACAGGGCAGAGGCTCCTTCCTGGAGGGAGTGCAGTGCACCCCAACCCCACGGGGCAGAGGCTCCTTCCTGGAGGAAGGGCAGTGTACCCCAACTGCATGGGGCAGAGGCTCCTTCCTGGAAGGAGGGAGTGCAGTGCACCCCAACCACACGGGGCAGAGGCTCCTTCCCGGAGGGAGGGCAGCGCACCCTAACCCTACAGGGCAGAGGCTCCTTCCTGGAGGGAGTGCAGCGCACCCCAACCCCACAGGGCAGAGGCTCCTTCCTGGAGGAAGGGCAGTGCACCCCAACCACATGGGGCAGAGGCTCCTTCCTGGAAGGAGGGCAGTGCACCCCACCCCCA